TGTGCTTGTTCAGGGTCTCCGACAGCACGGGCCAGATCTGGGTGGACACGGGAGGAAGGGGGTAAAGCTCAACCTGGACACGGGGTATCCCCGTCGCGTCACCCCCACCCCTGTACCCTCAGGCAGATGCCACTTGGGTCCCCAGACCAAAGGGCATCTCCGTTATGGGAGATGTCAATCAGCTTTATGGAGGAGTAATGACCTGAAGAGTAGGTTAACACCTCCCGTGCTCCAAACCTCCCACGAGCAAGGACATTAAAGCATCTGGGACATTCCCAGAGCCAAGAGGGGTTTGAAGACCCAAATCCCTACTTCCAGGAGGGAAGGGGCTCCAGCAGCAGCTCCTCTCCCCAGTGCAGAGGTGCTGTCAGACACCTCCATCCATCCCCCTGCAGGAATTCCATCCCCAAATTCATCCCCACTGGCACTTACTTCCTGAATGACTTTTTGGCACGGATGGATCTGTCCATTTTCTACAATGGGGTTGGTGTGTCTGTGGGAAGGAGCAAAGATTCCACGTTATTGTTATTAAACAGGGGAGTCTGGTGGTCAAAAGGTGGGTTTGGAGCCTCAAGCACCCACCAAAGCTGCTGGAAAAGGATCAGAAACTGCCTCAGAGGGGCTGAAGAACCTTGAACTTGGTGAAGCAGCAGCTTCCAGCCCCTTCTTTTTGGGTCCAGAGGGAAATGAGCCACCACTAACAGGGTTTAAGTCTCTGGATGGGCAGGTTGGACTCAGCGGCTCATGTCCCAGCCCCTCGTTCCTTACCTAAATATGACAGCAAGTCGATCCAGGGGCACAGTGGGGTCTGAGGAGAGGCCATTGCTTGGCTCCTGAGAGAGCAGCTGGAAAACAAGGGAAAACAATGGGATGTGGGGCCTTTGGGCAGCCCCATTCCATGTGAAGACTGAATAAACACTGCCTGAGCACCAGAGCCCACCAGCAGCACCTTCACATCCCCTCTGGACCAAAGCAGAGCAGAGAGCTCCTCAGACCTTGCCCAGGCAGCCCCTAGTCTCAGCCACACGCACTCTGAAAGCTCAGAGAAGCTTCTCTTTTTGCCTCCTCCCCTTTCAGAACCTCCTCAAAGGGGTCTCTGAAGGAGAAGGGAGAAGAACCGAGGTGGAAGAGAAGCCTGGGAGCTGCCAGGAGCAGGCAGGAGCTCTCAGGAACCCCTCCTGTGCAACTCCAGGTCACCCTGAAAGACACAGGATGGACACATCCCTTTTCTTGAGGCTTCCCTCCTTCTCCCTGCCATCCTCGGATTTCCGCTCTGTTATCCTGGATCTGCATGGAAAGGTCACTAAGGGCCACCACGTTTTGGGGATGGGCAGAATGTGACCTTCCGGGATCACATGTGCAACAAGGAGATCAAATTCCCATGTTCTCCATCCTGGAGATGCAGAGTGAAAGCTTCCTGCTGCATCCAAGGTGGGTTCAGGAAGGCTTTTTGGCTTCTAGCACCTCAACTGACTTCCAGGGACCATTTTCTTCCCATTTAACCCATCCCAAGCTCTTCCAGCCGCATAGTTCTCATCCAGGAGAGACTTAGGGACAAGTTTTATCTTGCTCCTGGTCTCCTCATACACCTCTGGCTTTGAGGACACTCAATTGCTGCAGCAGATCAGGCCACCAGGCAAGGATGGCACCACAGCAGCTTGATGGCCTCCATCCATCCCACCCAAAGCAGTGGGGGACCAGGAGCACACCAAGGGAGCTCCAAGCAGGACGTACCTTCTTGAGCGCCATCACTTGTACGGCACAGAGTTCACTGAGGCACTCTGCTATCTTCTCCAAGGGGAGCCTGGCCAGGACCAAGGCTGTCCCTGCAAGGCAGGAGGAGACAGGCTCAAGGAGCGGGAATGCAGTTTGGGAATGTGGTTGGGGAAATGCAGGGTAACGGAGGCTCCCAAACAGGCCATTCCCATGTTCATGGGCAAAAGCTCCCCGAGATTGGCAGATGCTTCTGTGCAGCTTGTTCTTGGGCTGAACCAGACACCAAAATCCCTCTGTAGGGTGGGAAGGAGGAAGGGATGCTGGGAAATGGGGATGATCCTTGAAAGGACAAGGAGAATGGCTTTAACCTGCCAGAGGGGAGATTGAGATGAGCTCTTGGGCAGAAGCTCTTCCCTGTGAGGGTGCTGAGGCGCTGGCACAGGGTGCCCAGAGAAGCTGTGGCTGCCCCATCCCTGGCAGTGTTCAAGGCCAGGTTGGACACAGGGGCTTGGAGCAACCTGCTCTAGTGGAAGGTGTCCCTGCCCGGGGCAGGGGTTGGAGCTGGGGGAGCTTTAAGGTCCCGTCCAACCCAACCCATTCCACGATTCTATGATTTCAGTGGTTTCCTCTCACATTTCAAGTCTGGAGCAGGGATGGAGACAGACGATAAACCCAGAAAGGGTCTTTACCTCCTGCCGTGGGGACACGTGGCTGCAGGCGGAGACACTCTTACTGAAGCAAGCCCCTGTGAGAAGGGGCTGGACCCCAGGCACACCCGAGTTGAGGCACTCACCCTTGAGCAGCCCCACAGCAGCCTCGGGGGAGAGCGTGAAGGAGTCGAGGGAGCGGGCGATCTCCAGCAGCCCGTTGAAGTGCTGGGCCATGTGGTCCCGGCACACGGAGCAGATGTTGTGGATGGCCTTGGCCGCCGCCGAAGCCAACCTCCTGTCACACAGCCCCTTCATCAGGTACCCCAGCACGGGATCTGCGGAGCAGGAGGGAGTGAGGCTGGGCCCTGGGGCCCTGGGCTGGCCCCGGGCAGAGCGGTGGGGCGGCGGGAGGACACTCACCCAGGAACTGCGGGTTCCTGTCCACCACCTCGCTCATCTCGCCCACCAGCTCGATGCTGGTGTAGCGCACGGCCGTGTGCACCGTCTCGGGGAGCCGGACCACCCCCTCCAGCACCTCCACCAGGGTTGGGTTGTTCTCCCTGGGCAGGGGAAAAGCAGCCAAGGTGAGCTCCATGGACCAGATCCATGGGGAAGGTGTTGTACTGAACACGGTCCGAGCGCTGGGTCGCCTGGAGCCAGCTGGGTAAACCCCATGGTTGTGGTGCGGTGGGTTTGGAGACATGGGTTGGGCAGAAGCCTCTGGGAAGAACTTAGAGCAGCTCCAGTGCCTAAAGGGGCCACAGGAAACCTGGAGAGGGGCTTTGGACAAGGGATGTAGGGACAGGACAAGGGGAATGGCTTTAACCTGCCAGAGGGGAGATTGAGATGAGCTCTGGGGCAGAAGCTCTTCCCTGTGAGGGTGCTGAGGCGCTGGCACAGGGTGCCCAGAGAAGCTGTGGCTGCCCCAGCCCTGGCAGTGTTCAAGGCCAGGTTGGACACAGGGGCTTGGAGCAACCTGCTCCAGTGGAAGGTGTCCCTTGGGGTTGGACTCAATGATCTTTAAGGTCCCTTCCAACCCAATCCATCCTGTGGTTCAAGTCCCTAGTGCAGGCAGAGGAGACCCAAGGAGGCCCAACAGCTTCACACAGTCCCAGCTCCATCCTGGACCCATATTCCAGGCCAGGATGTGGAAACCTCCAAGGAAGAACCACGCTTTGATGCTCTATTTGAGGTGTCCCCACAAAACTCACTTGGAGGCACCTCCTGACCCCCCAGCCCCTACAGACACAAGCAGGGTGGTCAGCACTCACTGGTCAACACTCTTGGCTATGGAGGCCATGATGAAGAGGACAGCTTCTGTCACCTCCCAGGGGGGATTCCCATCCTTCAGCGTGGCATAAAGCTGCAGGGGAGAGGATCCCTCACACAAAGGCTACAAACACACCTCAGGGGTATGTGGTTGTGAACCCCACCATATAAGAGCACCACATGCTCCTCGTTTCCTCCCGTACACCTCAAACACCAGGCTCCTGGCGTGGACCTGCCCAATTCCACCCACCAGCCTGGTATGTTGGGACCACAGGAGCTTCCCCCACGTGGTGTGAGACCTCCTGCTTCTCCCTGAACAGTCCCCACCACTGCTGCACTTCCCTGTGCACGATGAGACCACATGTGTGAACTCCTCCTCATCCCAAAGGCCAAGCACGTGCCTCATGATGCTCCTGCAAACCCACCTGAGCAAAACACTCCACTGAGCCCACCAAGAAGATGAGGTCTTTGACCAGGTCCGAGACCCGCATCCGGAACTCCCCAAAGTCATCTGTCTCCTCTGGGACACCCTCCTAAGGAGATGAGGGAGAGGAACAGGGTTAGAAGCTCAGAGGAATCCAGATCCTCACTCAACCACAGCCAGGACAAGACGAGCAATTCCATTTCAGAGAAGATCCATCATTCCTGCCCTCTCCTCCCTGGGTCAAGCTACTGAAGGGGATTTGAAGGAGATCCATGCACACACACTGTGTATTCCTGCTCCAACATGTAGATGAAGGGATGGGAATCAAGGGGATGAGGAGTTGGAAGGAGGACAAAGCACCCCAGACTTCAGGGAGGAAGATGACAGCACTGCGCTGTGAGCTGAGCTGTCACATTCCAACTAAAACACCCTGGAGCAGGGAATGATGCAGGTCCCAAAGTGGGAACAACCTGGGGGAAGGTGGGAGAGGGTCATCTTGCAGGAACCAGACACCAGGAACCTCTGGTAGGACAAGACTTGAAGAGAAGAGCAGTTTTAAGCACTCTTAATCCTCCCTCTCTGCAATTACTGCTCTGGAGAGTGAGCAGTGAGGATGGGCACATCCCATCATCCCAGCTGCTTCCAGAGGGAAGGAAAACCAACACAGCCTTACGTGGTCTGAGTCGAGCTGGCAGTGTCTGGCCAGGGCATGGAGAAGGCGCTGGATGTAGGCTTTGAAGATGCTGTGGATGACGGCATCGTCCGTCTTGTAGAGGTGCTCCCCAAGTCTGTACCAGAAGTTGAAGGAGATTTCTACCACCTATTTGGGGAGAAAAACGTTGTTATCAACACACTTCTCTGTCCTCTTTGCTCTGCTGCTGCTCCCCAAACCCTCTGAGCGCCTGGGGTACCACACATCCCCGCTGGTGCTTCACCACAGCGTGAGGAGCAGCTCCGAAGGGGATCCGAAACGGGCTGAGTTCACCTGGAAACCTCCCAGCAGTGAAGCTCCTCTGCAAAACTGACTCAGGAGCAGAAGAACTGTCTCTTCCTCCCATCACCTCCTTTCACATCATTAGATCTGCCAGGAGGAGGTTTGATCTGCCTGATCCTGACGGGATTCGTGTCGTTCTGCTGTCTCTGCTCATCCATCAGGAGGTGTTTAACACTCAGCCTGACCCAAGGAGCTGCAGGGCATTTTGCTGCCACCACCAGAGCCACGTTGGTGGAAGGATTTCATCACCTAGAGCTGATCCTCACCACCCATGACCTTGCATCTAATGGCCTCGTGGCCACCATGAGTTTGGGTCTAACAACATGAGGGGGATGTTAACCTCCATCTCCAAGAGAGCAGCTCAGGCTGGAAGGGGATGGGGATGTTGATCCAAAGCCATTCCTGGAGAGGGCATTAGCTCAGTCAAGACCCACCTCCCACCTGTCATTCAAGGCTGATTCCCTCCCCCAGTGGGACCTTAAGTATGGAGGGAAGGAAGGGAGAGCACCCCAAAATCCCAGTGGGCACCTCTCTGCTCCCCACTGGGTTGGGCCCCTCCACAAAAGAACCTCCACCTGCTGAAGTCTTCCAGTGCCTGAAGGGGCTCCAGGAAACCCGGAGAGGGGCTTTGGACAAGGGATGGAGGGACAGGACAAGGGGAATGGCTTGAACCTGCCCGAGGGGAGATGGAGAGGGTCTCTTGGGCAGAAGCTCCTCCCTGTGAGGGTGCTGAGGCGCTGGCACAGGGTGCCCAGAGAAGCTGTGGCTGCCCCATCCCTGGCAGTGTTCAAGGCCAGGTTGGACACAGGGGCTTGGAGCAACCTGCTCTAGTGGAAGGTGTCCCTGCCCAGGGCAGGGGTTGGAGCTGGAGGAGCTTTAAGGTCCCTTCAACCCAAACCATTCCATGAAGTCACCCAGGGATCAGCTACTGGGATTTAGTGAAGCTTTGGAAGAATGGAAGTGGGGTTAAAAGGAGACCTCACTCTACACATAAAGCTCTGTACTTCAGACATTTGGGGAGCTCTGATGCACAACAGCTTTTCACTTCCTCAGAGGGCAAAGTTCCCCTGAGTCCCACTTGGACACATGCAGAGAACATCAGGAGGGGTTTGGTGCTGTCCTCACAGCCCCACACATCCAGGAGGCTGGGAGAGGGGAGCTGAGCTGGAGTCCTGCCTCACAACCCAGAGCTGATGCTCCGAAGCCAGCAGCTCACAGGAACTGAAGCCTCCCAGCATGAGGCCACGCAAGAGGCACGTTTCCTCCCTGCTGACCCAGCTCTGGAGGAGTGAGACATGGGGAGAGAGACCACGGAGCAGCCTGGCTCACCTCGTACTGAGGGTGACCTGCACAGATGAGCAGCAGCTCCAGGGTCCTCAGGTCTCCCAGCCCCTGGCCTGGGGTACACACTATCTTATCGAGGAAGGTCTCGCAGAGCTCGGTGAACACACGGCAGTAGTTGAGCACCCTGGGGAGGAAAAGCAACGAGTCAGAGAGCTGGACATGGGATCACACAGCCCAGCACGGAGAGGCTGGGGCTGTGCAGGTAACACGCTCTGGAGCTTCAGCTCAGGCCAAGAGACACCCAGTTCTGCTTCAGCGTGGAGTCACCAGCTGGGAAACAGAAAGGGGAACTTGGCTTTGCCCAGAGTTAAGTGAAAACACCCAGTTCCAATAAGCAAATGTTATGAAATTCTCACATCAGTCACAGCAGCTGAGAAGACTTCTCCAAACCCACAGCATGGGGCAGAGGGACATGTGAGCAGCTTGGGTCTAAGGCAGCACCATGAAGGTGCCACGTTTCAGAAGGCAAAGGTACAAACCTGCTCTAAAACTACACCCAGGATATCCCAGTGCCCAAGCACTGGGTGACACCAGAGCTCCTCTTCTGATAGAAACAGTTCAGTGGTTGACTTTGAGCTGAACTATGAGCTTCAGCCTGCTTGAAGATGGCAAAATAGACAAGGGGAATGGCTTGAACCTGCCAGAGGGGAGACTGAGACGAGCTCCGAGGCAGAAGCTCTTCCCTGTGAGGTGCTGAGGCGCTGGCACAGGGTGCCCAGAGAAGCTGTGGCACAAACTGGCCTGGAATCAACTGGGGCTGCAGGTCAGGGGGTCCCATCAGAGCAGCGACGTTTTGTAGCTGCCAACATGAACTGAGCATTGGTGTCAACGTGCTCTGTCGAAGCGTGAAGTCAGGAAGGAGGTACATCCAGTGGGAACAGCTGAGCTGGGTGTGGATATCTGGAGCAGCAGGTCGCTTCTAACCTCTATTTAAAGCTGGTAAAGCATCAGCTGCACCTCAGGACACTTCCCTTGCGCTTCACCCGCTCCAAGGAAGACCAACACCCGTCCAGACCTGCTGACAGCCAAAGCCTGAGCCCAGCCTCATGCCCGGAGCACAGACTGGTCCACCATGGCCAAGGAAGTCACTTGTCTTTGTTCCACAGACACGTATTTGCACAGCAGACTTCAGAGACTGCACAGAAACCAGCACCAAGCGCAGACAGACACCGGCACAGCTAATGCTGGTGCTTCTCCTCCCTTCCCAGGCTGGGAGCTCACTTACTTGTCCAGGTCCTCCCGTGCCACAGCCATGTGATAGGCACTCTCCAGAGTGAGGACCCCCTGGAAGAGCTGCAGGGCCAGGGGCAGGTTGGTCTCCACGTTCTCGATGGCGTAGAGGGCCGAGCACACACAGTCCGAAGCAGCTTCGTGGAGGTTTGATGATGTCTTGTCTTGTTGCTGCAAGGAAGGAGAAGAGGAGCCCAGTGATTGTGGTATGGAGTGAGCTGGTGATGGAAAACCCAGGGCTTTGCTGCTCCTGTGCCCAAAATCCATTGCAGAGGTTCGCAGCCACCCACAACTCACTCCCACCAGCCCTGCAAAGCCTGTGCTGCTTCACCAGCCTGGTCCAAACTGACCCCATCCCATTGAGTCTTCCTCCAGAGAGGGAAACCCAGGAGGAAAAATCCCAACTGAAATCCAGGGAAGTTCAGAAGAAAAGAAAACACAAGTGGTGTTGCTCAGGGGTTGTGTTGGGACTGATCCTGTTCAACACCTTTGTTGGTGAGGTGGGCAGTGGGATTGAGCACCCTCATTTGCTGATGACAGGGAGCTGTGTTGGTGGGGTCATGCTGGAGGGAAGGGATGGGATCCAGAGGGATGCAACGGCATCAGGCTCTGGGGAACAGCACCAGAGGGATGTGGAGCTGCTGGAGCGAGGCCAGAGGAGGCCCCGGAGCTGCTGCGAGGGCTGGAGCAGCTCTGCTCTGGAGCCAGGCTGAGAGAGCTGGGCTGGGGCAGCTGGAGAAGAGAAGGCTCCTGAAGGGGACACCTTAGAGCAGCTCCCGGGCCTCAAGGGGCTCCAGGAGACCTGGAGAGGGGCTTTGGACAAGGGATGGAGGGCCAGGCCAAGGGGAATGGCTTGAACCTGCCCGAGGGGAGATTGAGATGAGCTCTGAGGCAGAAGCTCTTCCCTGTGAGGGTGCTGAGGCGCTGGCACAGGGTGCCCAGAGAAGCTGTGGCTGCCCCATCCCTGGCAGTGTTCAAGGCCAGGTTGGACACAGGGGCTTGGAGCAACCTGCTCTAGTGGAAGGTGTCCCTGCCCGGGGCAGGGGTTGAGCTGGAGGAGCTGTAAGGTCCCTTCCACCCAAACCAGGCTGGGGTTCCATGATTAAATAAAAGCCTTTCAAGCTCTGTCTTTTCTGTTGCTCTCCAGTGTAACAGCAGTTCACGGAGGGGGAAGGATCACTGATGGCAGCAGAGCAGGAAGGTTCCTGCACCCAGCACCTCCCTCTCGGCAGCAGCTCTGCCTTAGCCCAACATGCTGCAGGCAGCAGTGACCTCTGCTGTCCCCATCTGCTGGTGTGCACCCAGCTCCACAGGAAAAGCCAACATTCCCAAAACGTGGGGAGGAGAAGCATCATGGACAGATCTCATGGGGGTTGCTGAGCCAGGTGACTGAGTAAGACCAGGCAAAGGCATCTGCTCAGGAGAGTTTGTGGAGTCTTTCCAGCCTCTCCAAGAACAGGGAACGATGCTCAGCTCTGAGCTCATACTCCCTGGATCAAAACAGAACAAGGGCAGGAAAGAGCAGTATCGAAGGAGCTGCAGAGCCTCTTCCTTCCACACAAACAGCCAGACACACAGAGGATATTCTGTGAAAGCTCTGCCAACGCTTTTGGTCCATCAGCTTTGTCTCCACATCAAATTCCTGCACTAGGGACCAAGCACAGGGGCAGAGGAAGCACCTAAGGGTATTTCTGGTTTCTCCCTTGGGAGCTTGCTCTTCCCTGCCTGCTAGCAGAGCAGAACAACCTGCCCTGTGGAGCGGATGGAGGTAAAGAAGCAAGCAGAGGGTTCCTACTCAAGACGGGAGGGATGAAAGTCACCTTCCACACCTCCTGGTCCTCAAAGCCCACCAAACCCTCATTACAGAAGGCAAACACTCACCAGCACCTCGAAGAGGAGTGACAGCAACTTGCTGTTTGCCATGAAAGTGCTGTCCAGGACCCCCAGGTTGAACCAGCTCCCCAAGCACCTGAAGATCTTGATGAGCATCTTCTCATCGTTGCCTGCTTTCTCCACACACGTCATCTGCAGCAGGACAAGGAGGAACTGGTCGGGGACCCAACAGGAAATTCCACAAGCAATATAACAACTAACTCTTGAAATGACATCCTGGAGTGTCCACAATTAGCATCTAGAACTTCCCTGTGAATCCTGGCAAGACACAGAGGGCCTGGGACAGCCAGGAGAGACCCCTCCAAGAGGCACACAGAGCACAGGTCAGGGCAATTCCAAGCACAAATACAGGCTGGGAAGAGGATGGACGGAGCAGCCCTGGGGAGAAGGAATTGGCTGCCCCATCCCTTGCAGTGTCCAAGGCCAGGTTGGACACAGGGGCTTGGAGCAACCTGCTCTAGCGGAAGGTGTCCCTGCCCGGGGCAGGGGTTGGAGCTGGAGGAGCTTTAAGGTCCCTTCAACCCAAACCAGGCTGGGGTTCTACGAGTGTTCTCTCAAGCAGCAGTGCTGGACCCAGTGGAAGCAATAAAAGCACTCTGAGTGTTTTCACTCATTCCCAGGCCACCAGATTCCTGCAGGATCCTGTCTCAGACCAGTGGAGCATGGACACGAATGAGCTTCCTACATGATACATCCCTAAACTCAATCCCATCCCACTTTATATTCCTCACCACAAAACAACTGCTGCCAAAGATGGGTCCTGAGGGTCAGACCCACCCCAAAGGCCACCTTGAGGACATGTGAACCATCACTCCTGAAAGGAACCTTCCCTTGCCAGGCTGAGGGAAAGGAAGAAGAGGTGGACATGCAGGTCCTGGAGAAGGATCCCAGACTCCTTTCTTCCCAGAAAAGAGCCTGGATAAGCCAAGCAATCCTGCCCAGGACATCCTCCTCGCTTGACGCTTCAATCCCGAAGGTGGAATATCATACTTCATGGCAGTATCCTTTTGTAATACCTCTTTTTTTAACTCAAGAAGGGGAATTTAGGATTTAAATCCTATGGAAAAGAATTAATTTTGGGATTTACCATGGAAACTCCTGGCAGAAGCAGAGGAAATCTGAACAGAAACTCCTATGACAGCACTTTGTCCCTTGGTGATCCTCACATCGTCTCTGGAGAGGCTGGGAGCAGCCAGAGCAAGGTGACACTGCCTGTCTCATCGATGTGACAGCCAGGCTTCTCCCACAGGTCCTAGAGAGGGGCTGGAGGTTGCTGGGGGGGGGTGGCACAGTGCAGGGATTGCAGGAAGGTGAAAAGGGTTTCAGGAGAGAGCAAGGACTCGTGCAAAGACAAGCATCAGGAAAAGGTGGAACCGGGCTCCCCTAACAGCTGTGCTGGTCATGGCATGGAGCTCTGCGGGGTGAACACAGCGGGGGAGTCTTCTCAAGATCCGAGCTGCCTGGAGCAGAGGACACAGCTCAGCTGTGTGAGCTCATACAGAGGATGAGAGGAAATGGCCTCAAGTTGAGCAGCTCCAGAGCCTAAAGGGGCTACAAGAGACCTGGAGTTGGAACTGGAGGAGCTTTAAGGTCCCTTCAACACAAACCATTCTTTGATCCTAAAAACCATGGTTCTTCCTACCTTCAACAGCTACAACTCAAGGAATAGTGACCAGGAGGGTAAGGAGGTGGCTGGAACACACAGAGTGACCACAGACCCATGAGTGCAGGGCCAAGCACAGGAAGATGGGGCTGCAGAGCAGAGGAAGGGCTGCTGCTGAGATGCTGCAATGAAACACCCCAAACCCTGAGTCCACCTGGAGCCTGGTGACATTCACCAGTTGCTCAGTGGAATCACAGGCTTGTGACATGCTGCTGAGGGGATGTCATCTTTCCTTCTTCAGATAAGCAGCATTAAAGGGTAGACATTGATGGGAAGCTCTAGGGACTATGGCACATGCTCCATTTGAAGCCTGAGACAGGGTTGGCTGCTCGTTTACAGAGCTCAAACAACGCTGAAGAACATGAGAAGTCTCCCTGGCAAGGAAGGAGTTGGAAGGAGCAGTTCTTTTCAGTCCATGAAGAGATTCACCTCAATGCTTACTCTCTGTTCCCCAAACTTGCTCTGTTTTGGGGTCCACAACAATCTTGATCTTTAAGGTCCCTTCCAACACGAAGCTGTCTGGGATTCATTAGGGACTGTAGTGGTAGGACAAGGGGTAATGGCTTTAAACTTAAACAGGGGAACTTTAGGTTAGATCTAAGGAAGAAGTTCTTCACAGTGAGGGTGCTGAGGCACTGGAATGGGTTGCCCAAGGAAGTTGTGAATGCTCCAACCCTGGCGGTGTTCAAGGCCAGGCTGGACAGAGCCTTGGGCGACATAGTTTAGTGTGTGGTGTCCCTGCTCATGGCAGGGGGTTGGAACTAGATGATCTTAAGGTTCTTTCCAACCCAAACCATTCTATGATTCTATGATATATCAAGACACAAGATGTGCAGGTCTAGAGATGATGATCTCGAGATCTACATACACACACCCCTAAGGGGCTGAGGTAATTTCTTGCTTAGCCCTCAAACAACCCAAAACTAGCACTGCCTGCACTGGAATCCCAGCCTAGGCAACGACTGGATCAGGAGACTAAAGAGCTTTTCCTGAACTTGCAGCACACGGTGCTGGAAGAGAAGCCTCCACACTTGGTAGCACCACTTGAATCAGTGCAGCGTTCACAGGGACAGTCCACTGGAGAGGATGAGACAGTTACTGAGTTTCCACAACTAGCTCCATTTTCTACCCAATGACAAGAACCTGACTCTGACTTTGATCTGCTTGGAACTGAGATAAACCAAACCCAGCTTGTTTCACACATCCAGCCTGGAATAACCTGGATCAGAGACATGCAGTAGAAGAATGAATGGAGCCTCATCTACAAAAACCATGCAGATGGGGCCCTTAGTGACAGGCGTTAGTGCTGGGGAATGGTTGGACTTGATGATCTCGAAGGTCTTTCCAACCCAGCTGATTCCATGATTCCAAGAAACTGGATGAAGCTCTCCAGCTGCTGGCCAGGGCCTGGTCCCGCTGTGGTCTCCTTACCAGCAGAGAGATGACCGTGCTGGAGTAATAGGCCAGGTCCTCTATGATCTCGGTGCGGCGGTTGGCTCCGATGCGCAGGGACCGGCTGTGCACCTCCTCGGGCAGCACCGTGAGGATCTCCAGCAGGAAGGGGAGCGATGTCACGTCAGTGCTGTACCTGCGACAAGGGGAGCGGGCACGGGCTGAGAGGGCAGCTCCCAAACACGTGCTCCAGGCCAGGTTGGACACAAGGGCTTGGAGCAACCTGCTCTAGGGGAAGGTGTCCCTGCCCGGGGCAGGGGTTGGAGCTGGAGAAGCTTTGAGGTCCCTTCGACCCAAAGCACTCCATGACTGTAGGAGAGAAAAGCTTCCCTCTCACGGGGCTCTTTGCTGCTGGGGGCCTTTTTGGTCCATGCAGCTTCACCTCCTCCACATTTATTCAAGGATCAATTTAATGATATAAAGATTTACTTACTTTTCCACCAGTGTTTGTACGCAGCCTTTCCAGGAAGCCATCTGCAGGGCAAGATCTGCTATAGCTAAAGCAAGCTGGAAGGAGAAGAGGGAAATGGGTTCAAACTTCAACAGGGAAGATTTAGGTTGGATCTAAGGCAGAAGCTCTTCCCTGTGAGGGTGCTGAGGTGCTGGCACAGGGTGCCCAGAGGAGCTGTGGCTGCCCCATCCCTGGCAGTGTTCAAGGCCGGGTTGGACACAGGGGCTTGGAGCAACCTGCTCTAGTGGAAGGTGTCCCTGCCCGGGGCAGGGCTTGGAGCTGGAGGAGCTTTAAGGTCCTTTCCAAACCAAACCATTCCCTGACTCTACAAATAAAACAACACATTAATTGTAGAGACTGATACAATCTGCCCAACAGCTCAGGAGAAAAGGTTCTGTGACCATCAGAGCTCAGCACAGGATATTCATCCACGTTACCCCTGTGGTGTGCATGATCCCTGTGGAACACCCACCACCTCGAAGGGGTGACATTCTCTGCCGGGGTTATTTAAGGCTTGAACAGGCAGCTTTGCCTCAGTCTGTGCAGTGTCAGACAGCCCTATGCCACAAGAATTTACGGATAATGAGAATGAAGGGATTTCCAAGGACATGCCAGCACCTTGGGAGAAATCCCCCTGGATACCCAGGGCGCTGCTGGGCAGATCAATGGTCTGTCTCCACTGCAGAGCACAAGGGACAGACCAGGAACTATCCCTCCTCTCAGGATCTCCAAACAGCAAACAAGAGGATAGAGGATTGATTTAAGCAAAGGAACTCAATAATGAAGGAATTCTGTACTGGGAGACACGATGGGGGTGGCTGCAGGCATCAGCCTTCTCGGTTGTCCACACTGGAGGAAAAGCAACCAAGGGTTTTGCCTCAGAATAAGGCAAAGTGACAAGAGGTGGAGGTGGCCACCAACAGCATCAACTCTTCCTCCTCCACGCTCCTCCAGGAATGGCGCTGGCAGGGCTGTGACACCAGGCAGCTCCCAAGGGCAGGCCAGGAGCAGCCCCTGCCACCTCGTGCACCCTCTGCTCAGCACCTACCTGGGTTACGATGACCGGTGACAGGTCTTTCAAGTTCTGGATGTGGGACAGCAGCGAGTCCCGCAGGGAAGCGTGGGAATCCGTGGGGAGCTCGTAGAAGGAAGTTTGGATCTTCATCTTCATGGTCTGTGCTGCGAAGTAGCAGGATTCCACATCCTGGTGGATCTGCAGCAGCTGGTCAGAGATCTCCCAGGCGTGGACCTGCAGGAAGCACAGTCAGTGAGCGAAACCCAAATTCCCTTTGGGAATGATGATGAAAATGGACCCTCTCCCCAGAATCCCCCCTGATTCTCAGCAGCAGAGTCCGTGTCGTGCTGCCATCACACTGCAGGTGATGCAGCTGGTTAAGGAAGGTGCTGGGGCTGTGACACCCCTCCCGGTGAGCTGAGGGAGCTCCCACCACCAGTGGTGGTGCTCATGGCCTCAGTACCACAAGCCCTTCAGGAGAGCAGCTTAGAGAGTGATCTGGTGCCCACCCTTGCAGTGAAGAGCATGGAGAGGTGGGGTTTGGGCTAAGGTAGACAACAGTTGCACCTATTACACAGCAGTAGAAGCAGAAAGAGCCCAGCAGCGGAGAAATGGGAAAAGGATGGGATAAAAACCTCTCCAGGTCACACTAATGGCATGTAATTGCAGAACTGAAGCCACCAGCCCTGTCCAAGAGCACAGGCTGGGTCTGGAGATGCTGCAGCACACTATGGATGTGCCAAAGGGCCCGGAGGAGAGCCAGCAGTGAGGGAGATCAGCATTCACTAGGCCTGGTACAAGACTGAAGGCACCAGAAGGTACAAGGAGAGCACTGGGTGAGCCACAGGACCCACGGGAGAGCCTGTGCCACCGTCACCTCACCAGGATGGGGTCAACATCACAGCCCAGGCACCGCTGGAGCTGCTGAAGCACCTACTACATAGGGTTTGGTGGGCAAATGAAGCCATCAAAGCTTGGCTGGGCCACCAAGTGCCACCAACCCCACCACTGCTGGAGCACATCAGCATGGCTTAGGCAGAACACTTGGGCTGGGGGTCTCCCGCTGAGGAATGAGATCTTCAGAGGACTCAGATGATCCAATGAAATCCTCTTCCTTTCCCAAAACATCTGCAACATTCCAGCTCTGGAAACATCATTTGGTTTTTCCTTAAAGATTAAGGCTTTGTTTTCCCACAGCACTGGAAATCTGAATTTCTGTGCATAGGTAAGCTTGAAGTAATCAATCCACACCGTGTGTGCAACCAACACGGAGCACCTCGGCCCTGCACCCAAAACCTGCTACACACGGCCAAGAGCACCCAGGAGGAACATGGTGACCATGTCCAACACTCATCAGACTGTTTTCTATCACTATGAAAACCACAGAATCCCAGAACCCAGCCTGGTTTGGGCTGGAAGGGACCTTAAAGCTCCTCCAGTCCCAACCCCTGCCCCGGGCAGGGACACCTTCCACTAGAGCAGGTTGCTCCAAGCCCCTGTGTCCAACCTGCCCTTGAACACTGCCAGGGATGGGGCAGCCACAGCTTCTCTGGGCACCCTGTGCCAGCGCCTCAGCACCCTCACAGGGAAGAGCTTCTGCCTCAGAGCTCATCTCAATCTCCCCTCGGGCAGGTTCAAGCCATTCCCCTTGGCCTGTCCCTGCTTTCAATAGGTGTTCACCAAGCCTTGAAGCCCCCAGTGGTCAAGGAGAGCACCCTTCTGGAGCTGCCTCCTTCCAGACCTGCTCCTTCCCTCCTACCAGGCTTTGATCCTTGTCCAGCTGCCTCTGTGCCCAGGGGCTGTTAAATGAGCTCTCTCCAGTAACTCCAGCTATTACGAGATGGTCTTTAAGATCCCTTCCAACCCAAACCAGTCTATGGTTCTATGGCTCGTGTGTTGGCTCATGCACCTTCAGGCAGCTCCAGCGATGGTTCCCTGGACTGCAAATCAATACATAGGGAAAATACAGGGAATACGTAGGGAAACTAACTAAAAATGAGGAAGTGTTTAGCAAGAAGAGACCTTTATGGCAGCAGAACAGGTAAGAAACACCTTAAAGATCAATAACCTCTTGGTCTTTGCCGGCAGCTCTCAACCACCAACGCATCTTGCTGCTGACCACAGCCAAATCTTCAAGGGATTTCATGTTCTTTGGGGAATCCTTCTCTGGGCAGGTGACCACAAAGTGTTTCCAAGATGCTGGATTAAGAATGAGCTGAGATTCTAGTGCTGACCAATGGGTCACCAGAGAAAGAGGGCTGAGAACATCCTCCATTGGAAGATGATGTCCTATGGCCAAAGGATTGTGCGAGGAGGATCTTCACCAACCTCCTCAACTCTTGTGGGTGATGATTAAACAAAACTCACCTTCCTACTAAGAACATATGAGTCTTATGGGGTGGCAGAGGCTGTTCTGCAAGCCTACAATCCAGCTTGTCTTGGAAGATTGGAAACTAAAGGCTCATTCCTTCTTTCCACCTATGATCACTCAGCTCCAGATGGATTTGTAGAGATCCAAGAAGATGAACCAAGCAGCCTGGAGACAACATCCCCTCCCCTGCCCACAGAGGGTCACACTCACAAGGACCTTATCAACTACCGGTTTAAACTAAAGCAGTCTTGGCTTTCCACACAAATTATTTCTCATTTTGGTGGCCCAACACCTCCAACATCCCACCACACAGACCCTGCCGGAGTAAAGGTGCTCACCTGCAGAGTGTTGTACCTGGGGGTCAACAACTTTTCATGTCAGAATTGAGCAATGAAGGAACAAGCATAAAGCAGGGAGACAGCTCAAGGCCTTGTCATTGAGCTCTGAAGCCCATCACCCAAAGAGCTCTGCCCAGCACCCAGCTTCCAGGGGCAGATAAACCCCTACACTGAAGAGAGAACATCTGCAGCTTGACAGTTACTAGTGGATGAAATGGGAGTTGGGGATCGATGCAGCCGTAACAAGAGACCAAGATGGAAACAAGGGGCCCAGGGACCTTCTCCACCCAAAGACCAACCATCCCCACAGAAAGAGGAGCTTTCATTTCAGCTTTACCAGATGGGTTGATGAGAATCCATCATTCAGAGAGGACTTGTGGTGTGAGAGCTCCAGAAATGATACTTGAGAACATTGGACAGAAGAACTCATGTGGTTTCGGCTTTTTAGTGCCCACTTTCTGCAGCTCCATCACTTCTCTGCAAGGATTCCAGCCTCCCACCATTCCAAAGCTTGTCCACAGGAGCAGCCACCTGCCTCCAACATCAAGGCTGCTCTTCAGAGCTCATCCAAGCTCTGACACAAACACAGACGTGACGGAAGAACCCTGATGCAAAGAGCCTCAGCCCTGGAGACGGGTGGAAATGGAGCTGGTAAGATCACAGTCATGGAATGGTTTGGGCTGGAAGGGAGCTTAAAGCTCCTGAACTCCAACCCCTGCCCCGGGCAGGGACATCTTCCACTAGAGCAGGTTGCTCCAAGCCCCTGTGTCCAACCTGGCCTTGAACACTGCCAGGGATGGGGCAGCCACAGCTCCTCTGGGCACCCTGTGCCAGCGCCTCAGCACCCTCACAGGAAACAGCTTCTGCCTAAGCTCTAACCTGAGGCTGGAACCCGCAGGTGACTCTCAGAGTTAAGTAACATCTTTTCTGCTCAAAAGATGTCATGTTTGAGGGACACAAGGGTTTTGGGCAGGAGGACACATCTACCAGCCCTCGTGCAGAGCCACCTCCTCAGCTCCAGTCCCTTCCATGACAAATAAGTCTTGCTGGAGAAACCAACCTGGGAAAAGGAGCATCCAGTCCATTCAATCCCAGCCAGTGGAAGAGTTCCTCACAGAACAAACCCTCCAGCTTTACAGAAGCTGAAGCCAGGGATGCTCCTCAGGCAGCCTCAGATGTTATGGAGCATCTTTAGACCAAGGCTGTTTGAAGCCATAAAGCTGTGGAAACAGGAGGCTTCCTGCTTGAGAGGCAGCCACCAAGTGCTCGTGTTCCAACAAAGAGCTCTCTGTCTCCATTCCTTGGCCAAGCAGCATCTCCAGGATGCCCAAGGTCATGATTCCAAAGCCAAGGCAGCTGCAAACCCTTCAGCTATTGAGCAGCCTCTCCCCCAGGTCTCATAGAGGCTTTTGAAGAATGATTCTAATGGACATCACTGCTCTGAGCTCCAGCTTCAGGCAAAGGAAGAGCCTTCAAGGACAAGTCTTCTGCTCAACCAGACTCTGAGGCTGACTCGAGAGGGCCAGTCAAGGAGCACATCTTCCATCTGACAGCCAGGCTTGGGTCTGTTGTAGGTGGCAGCTTGTGTGCTGGAGATGTGGTGGCACCACGAGGCTGGGGTGGGTCGTGATTCCAGCAAAGAGCCCTGGAATATCCTTCCTTTCCCACGCACCAAATGGAAAGGGAAGAACGGGCCTGTTCAACACCACATGAAGAGATGGACGCTGCAACAGCACAAAGATGAATTGTGAGTTGTAGGTGCTGTGAGAATCAAGAGCTTCCAGCTCCAAAGGAACCTTTGTGGTGGACCTTTGGGTAAAGCCTTGCTGTGGAGGCAGCTTTTCCTTTGGAACTTCCACCAACTGGTTTAACTTGTCTATTCCTTCCCCCCCAAATTCCCCTTTCTTGGAAGGATTCAAGTGCTTCCACGGGCAAGCTCCACCACGGAGGAGGTATGCTGCAGCCTGGAAGACTTTGAGAAGACAACAGAGAAACCTAAACCTCATGAACTTGCTGTGGTGGATCTGTCCTATCACCCAGGTGATTCCCAAAGACATCCAGCAGCATCCACACAACTGCGGATCCCTGAGGAATGCCACTTAACTGGCCACCAGCTGGACTTCAGGCCGATGACCACTGCTGCTTGAGCCCAACCACCAGCTCCATCTCTCTGGCTCCTGCAGGACAGTGCTGGAAGCCCTGGTAAATGCCAAGGAAAAGGACATCCACTGCTCCCCCCATCCACCACATCAGCACTTATCCTTGGAGGCTGCTTGGCTGGTCAGGAAACGTGTCTTCTCCAGTGCTAGGCCAGAAGACACATCCTTCTCCCTCCCACAGCCTTTTCTACCCGCTGCTTTTGGCATGAGCAGCTCATGGAATGATGCTTTGAGACTTGGGCTGCTTCTGGATGTGCCCAAATGCACTCCCAGGTGTCCTGCCACAGCTTTAAGGTCCCTTCCAACCCAAACCACTCCGTGACTCTATGATCAGACAAGCCCAGACCTGCAGGATAAAGCTGCTGA